GCTGCCACAAGAAACTGACGTTTGACGCTAGACTTTGCTTTTCATACAAAGTGGAAATGGCATATTTTAATCCCAAATGCCAACTGAGAGACTAAAACCTATTCATTTTCCAATATAATTTTGGAAAAAAGGATGTTTGATTTGATTTAGTTGCAGGATTTATAGTTTACCCGCTATTGTTTACACCAATTGAGTTACCCTCTTGTCTATATGACAAAGCATTTAGGAACTCATGGCGTAGGGAATTAACTTCTCTAGGAGAATATCGACTACCCTTTGTGCTCCAACATGTTTGTTATATCAGCTCAGGGCACTGCTTCACTCTCTGCTTTGGACTACTCTGTATCCACCTGTTTAGATTGGCTGCTTTGACTTATTTTGGTTGATTAACGTTACATCGAACATCTTGTTATTCATTTACATTGAATAATTTGCCCATACACGACTATGTAACTTTTTTTTTTTTTTTTTTTCCTATTTCAGATGAAAGGAACGTGATTGGCTGAGAGATCCCGGCTCCTCTTGTGATTGGTTGATCCTTGTTTCCGGGGCCCCGTTGTGCCCTCTCTGACGTTTCTCGGTCTGCCCCGAGATAGACTGGAGAGAATGGCTGCCAGTGGAGGTTCGCAAAAAAAAAAAAAAAAATCTTCATTGTTTTGTGTAGTAATCAGACTGAAATAACGCCTTCTAAAGTTAAAATGTGTGTGTTCATATGTTCGTGGAGTGTAGTGTTGTATACTGATAGAATGAGTCGTGACATGTTGCATTGTCGTTAAAAGGGGTCAGGCTCTAAACGACTCCTCAAAAAAGTGTTGGTTATCGTTAGCCTCGCTATGCGGCTAATGTTAGCTGCCGGGCTAACTTTCGGCCGGTTAGCTTGCTACCCACAGCTGATTGTGTAAACACTTGTTTATGACAAGAGACAAAGGTTAGACAAGTGTGGTTATAGTTACCGTTTTCAGTAGTAACGCTCTAGACACTGTGCTAAATAATGTTGTGTTTATCTAAGGTTGAAACGTTACGACGTAAAGCGTTTGAGTTATGATCGCCCTTTAAATCTCGCAATGTTGTGTCAAAGAAAGCTTTGCTAATGTTAGCTTGGTGCCTAGCTGTCTGCTAAAAGTTACGCTCGCTTGTCAACTAGCTAACGTTATGGTACGCATTGCTAGTTTTTGTGATAATAACGCATTCCGACCAACCGTTATAAACTGTTACATAGTTGTATTCCTCCAGTTGCCTTTCAGTCCAGTTAGCCACAGAGACACACACGTTAACGTTACTGCAGTCACCGGTCAATGTGAGATGTTAGCAAGCTAGCTACCACCTGGCGAGACAGTAGTTTTCTATACACTCATCGCGAGCCTTTGTCCTGTCAATGAGTTAGCGACGCACAACGCGAGTTATTTGTTGGAAAAAGTTTTTTTGTTCCTCAGCAGCTGATAATATAAGACGATATAGTGACACGTTACGGAAGGCATGACGTTTGGCTAGCTACTTGTATATAACTTGCCATAACACGCGTGATAATGAACATGTTTACTTTGCAGACACTACTATAGGGGGGCTGAATCCACGGGTTGATAGGCCCATATGTTATCCGTGTGATCAGTCGGTCAGTGAGAACATGAACAACTTTGACCTAAATTAAGAGACATTCAGATGTAGAACAGACGAGTAAATGGGATGAGGTGTTTTTTTTAAACTTGTCAGCCATTTATATATCTGGACCAAATATACTCTTGGCTCATACACACTGTAAATACCTAGAGGAGCACTGATTTTGTGATCTATTTTGAGATTTTATACTGTTCCTTTCTCAGTTAAAACACACACACTCGGTAACCTTTGCATTTTGTTCTTCTTTTAGCATGTTTTAGAATTAGAATCAACATTGTCAGTATTTTAAACACCTGCGTCATCTCAAACTCATCTTGTGTTCTGTTAAAATGTGTGACACAGTACAGGTGTAACAACAATCTATGTTTATGTTTTGCCGAGACTGCTCACCTATAAAAAAAGTGATTGAACGAAGGGTCTCAAAATGCTTACATGAATGACTGTTTACCAGATAAGAGCCTGTATCAAATCACTTTTTTTGTTACGGAAGTCTGGTCAAGTTTTTCGTGTGGTTTCCACACAGTTCTACAGGCGCTGTGCTGATGTGTTCCTCTCTCTTTGTTGTGTTGTTCAGAGGTAGGGAAGCTGTTACAAGTACAAAATGGGACACCTCCAAGCACCAACTACAGCGGGGTAGATGCTGTTCATGCCTGTAACGTCCTTCAGCAGCTCAAAGCCTTGTACGATGAAGCACAGCTCACAGACATCGTCGTAGAAGTGGACCATGGCATGACTTTCTCATGTCACCGGAATGTCCTCGCAGCAATCAGCCCGTATTTTAGGTGGGAAACGTCGGATGTTTACTAATGTTTGTATTTTCACAATTTAGTGGGCGATAGTCATTTCTTGAAAAATGATGTATTGTTAAGATCAAACGCCTTTGTCAAGTTTGAGTGTTTAAATGATAATGTAGTTGTGAGAACTGATTCATGTAGTTATATCATTTGTGTTTTCTCCACCATCACCACCAGGTCCATGTTCACCAGTGGCCTTACAGAGAGCAGCCAGCGTGAGGTCAGAATCGTTGGCGTGGAATCTGAATCCATGAACCTCGTCCTAGACTATGCCTACACATCCAGGGTCATGCTCTCTGAGTCCAATGTCCAGGCCCTGTTCACTGCAGCCAGCATTTTCCAGATTCCTGCCTTGCAGGACCAGTGTGCCCAGTTCATGATCAGCAGACTTGACCCCCAGAACTGTATTGGGGTCTACATGTTTGCTGATGCCTATGAACACCAGGAGCTGAGGGAACGCTCACAGGACTACATCCGCAAGAAGGTCAGTTAAACGTTAGCACAGGATTGGCTTCTTAACAGTAATTAGCATCATGATTTCATCATTATATCTGCTGCTACCATATTCCAATTTTCATTTAAAGACATTCTGTTTTGTTCTTGTAACAGTGCTGTCTTTGTGACTAGTGTGTTTGGTTGCTAATACTTTAAACATTTTATGTTTTTGTGGTAGTTCTTGTGTGTGTCATGGGAGCAAGAGTTCCTCCAGATGACCAAGGTGCAGTTGGTCAGCATTTTGAACAATGACGACCTCAACGTGGAGAAAGAAGAGCATGTCTATGAGAGCATTGTCCGCTGGCTGGAGCATGATCTGTCTGGCCGTGAGGCCCACCTCACTGAGGTTTTCTCCCAATGCATCCGTCTGCCCTTGCTGGATGAGGCCTTTCTCAGTCTGATACCTGCCCCCTTCGCGTGTGCCCTTTCCCTCTCTAAGGACCCTGCTGAGGCCAAAGCCCGCCTCACTGGCACCAATGGTTGCCCCCAGCGCCTGGGTATGACTGCATCTGAGATGGTCATCTGCTTTGACGCCGCTCACAAACACTCAGGGAAGAAGCAGACGGTGCCTTGCCTGGACACAGCCACGGGGAGGGTGTTCAAGCTCTGCAAACCACCCAATGATCTCCGGGAGGTCGGTATCCTGGTGTCCTCAGAGAACGATATCTTCATTGCTGGAGGTTACAGGCCGAGCAACAGCGAAGTGTCCATAGACCATCGGGCGGAGAGCGACTTCTGGCAGTACGAACACGCGGGCAATCGATGGCTTCCACGCGCACCTCTGCTGAGAGCACGGATCGGCTGCAGACTCGTGCACTGCTGCGGGAAGCTTTATGCACTGGGAGGCCGAGTATATGAAGGCGATGGGCGAAATGCATTGAAGTCGGTAGAGTGCTATGATGCCAGAGACAACTGTTGGACAGCAGTCAGTGCTATGCCAGCGGCCATGGAGTTTCACAGTGCTGTGGAGTACAGGGACCGCATCTATGTCCTCCAAGGTCAGTTAATGCTGCTGATGTGAAACGATGTAATCTCTATAGTGGACTGAGGATTTTGTGATAATGTCTTATTTCTCATATACACACATTTGTATGACAAACATACACGACAAAGTATGTTGAAGCAGTTCACCCCAGCTCTAAATTGCATTTCTTTTTGTTTTCTGCAGGTGAATATTTCTTCTGCTTCGACCCCCGGAAGGACTATTGGAGTCATCTCGCCCCGATGAGTGTCCCTCGTAGTCAGGGTCTGGCTGCCTTGCATAAGAACTGCATCTACTACATTGCCGGCATCTGCAGGAACCACCAGCGCACCTTCACTCTAGAGGTTTATGACATTGAGAAGAACACATGGAGCCGCAAGAGAGATCTGCCCTTTGACCAAGCCACAAGCCCGTATATAAAGGCCATGCTGCTGCAGGGCAAGCTACACCTGTTCGTACGAGCCACGCAGGTCATGGTGGAGGAGCACGTGTTTCGCACCAGCCGAAAGAACTCCCTTTACCAGTACGACGACGAGGCCGATGTATGGACCAAAGTCTACGAGACACCTGACCGCCTCTGGGATCTGGGTCGCCATTTCGAATGCGTGGTGGCCAAACTTTACCCACAGTGTCTACAGAAAGTGCTTTGAGGAAGCCGGTTAGGTGAACCCAACCTATAAGGCAGAGGGGAGTTGTGTGGTCCTGCCTGCCTTGTGCCTGGTGTTACCTCGGGTTTGCACCACAAAGGACCATTTTTTGGTTAAGTCTTAAGTTGTTCAAACTTTGGTTAACATGATCGAAATGGGGTGCTTTTAAAGATTGCAGTATTTTTCTTTCCTCCCAGACAGCACCAACTACCCACACTGATGCTTGTTTAACAAAACCGTACAATGAATCATAAGTGCAATTATCCTATTTTTTGCTTGTTGTTGAGCCATGTTGTTCCATTCTTTGTTTTAGATACATATAGGTAAGGATTTCTACAAATGATAAGCATGCAAAATGGGGGTATTGACAAGATACAAGTGCCCTCTGGAGATAGATGCTAGGTGTCGGCATAAAGTGAAAAAAAAATATATATATATATATATATATATATATATATATATATATATATATATTCAACTATATATTCATACGGGTAAGGTGAGTACCATAGCTCATTAGTTGGTTGCTGGCTCTGAGGTTTGTGTGTCTATTCTGTTCTCAAGTCTCTTCAGCTTATTTTATAGACGAGTTTTAATTTGAAGTCTGCTCGTGATTTGCATTACTTTACTGTTTTTGACTCTTTTTTTTTTTTTTTTACGGCTCCCTCTTCCTCCACATGCGTCAGTGTGTCAAACAATACACTATGTGTGGCTTCCGAGCTGTTTTTTAAGTTTTGTTTGAGATTCCAGTTGCATGGGAGCTCACACCTCCCCGCTCTTTGAGTTGGCATCCATTTTGTGTCACGTGCGAAAGACAACTTTAACTGTAAATGTAAGAATACTCACTCTCCACATTGGAGAAATAAGGATGGCGTCAAATTTGTGGCGACACTAAGTGGAAAGTTCAGAGCGACTAACGGGCTTACCTCAGAAACTTCAAACATGTTTGATTAGGAGAAAAGGGACATTTCAGGCCGTCGTGTTGATGAAGCAGCTGCGCGACAAGCTCAGTTCAGCATTGAGCTCTGTTGAGGTCGTCTTTGACATCGGATTATAACAATTTGAAAAAGGCTGAAAGAGCCTTCCTCTTAAATGCTAACAAAAAAAAAGCATTTGAGGTCTTGTTATTGTTGATCTGAACATTGAAAAGATTTTTTTTGTAGTAGCAATAAGTCATGGAACTGTGATCAGGCTATATTACGCTATGTTACCTTTCGTAAAAGTGCATTAATTGTTTTGTTTGTGTGCTCGTCTCGCTGGTGAAAATCACGATGGTTCCAATGATTGTGTGTGTGTGTGTGGCTGTTGCACGGGTGCAGGCTGGCAGCGATGCGTACGTTAAGTGCAGATCATTTGGAACGCCGATGTGCCTGTGGCTTCGTAAAAAGGAGGCGACGGATCCAAGAACTGCTCCTCCCTGGAAGAATATCTGAAAGGTCTTACTTAGCGTTGCACTGAATCCACTCTCCACTTCAGCAGTCAGTCACTGCAAACGTTACGAAAGCGCCCTCCTGGACACGCAGACTATATGCGAGGGTGGCTCCGGGTTGTGTGCTAATCCATCGAAACAGCCGTCTTTACACGCCATCACGCAGAGGGCACAAATTGTTGGTGCTGCTTTCTCTCTTTTTTTTTTTTTTTTTTTTTTTTTTGACAATCTTGTATAGAAGAATTAATACCACCACTGAGTGGCGTTCCCTGTGAAAGTGTGACATTTTCAGTGCCGTCAATTTTCCTCAATGCAGGTTCCTGTGTCATCTTTGCACTACAACTTTCTCTTGTGTTTTATTTTAAGGAGTACTCAAAAGGTTTCAGTAACCACATAGCAATCATCTATCAAGATTCACATGGACACGAACACCAGAAGAGTCGCATCCAGTGAGGACTTGAGGATACGATGTAACTTCTCCAAGAGAAGGATCCACTGTTGACTGACTTGGAGCTCATGTTTTCTTGCCCCCCCCTCCGGCTTTGAACAATACTCTCAAAACTGCCTTTCATCGAGCGTGAGAGGAGGTTTGAGCTACATCCACGTGTCTACAAAACGGCCATTTGAGAACCAGGAACGGAGAACTCTCAGGATTTCTACTGATACACAGTACTGTATTTAAATGTTTTTGTTATGTGTAATATACTGTACTATAGGTTTGCTGTACTTGCACAGTTTTTTAAACTTCTCTTCAGTTTCTTTTATAACTTGAAAAAAAATAGATGTGATTTTCTTTTTGTTGTCTCCAGTGGCTGTTTTTTTTTTTTTTTTTATGTAATTGCCTATTTAGTTATGGTAGAGTAATCCTGATTTGTTGAGAAAAAAATGATTCCCCCCTCCCCCTACCCTCCTCAGTAGTACAGTAGTATTTCTTTGTAACATGTCACCACAACTAAGCATTACAGATCAAGTAACTAAATAGTTGCGTCACGTTTCATACACCAGTCGTGTAATACAACAAGCTAAAAACCGCTTTCTATGTTCAGGAGTCGGAGGCCTTGGGCTGCAGTACACAGCTCACTCTGGTCATTTACATGCATCACTCTCGGGTGCTATTCCATCGTGTTCATGCTTTGCTTTCGCTGATTCGTCTGTTTTTGGGTTTCGGGTTATAGTGGTGGTTGAGCTTAACTGTGAAATTCACATTGCACATAATTTGAAAATAAAACTATTAAAAGTGAATATTGTTATTGTTTTCTTTTTACAAGTATGCTATTACTTGTGTCACAAGTAATAGCACAACTACTTGTTTTAGGGGTTGACGTGCATTGTGTGTGAAAAACACTGAACTGACTTACAGTTAAGGAGGATGTGGTAACCCTGTCAGCTCGTGGGCTCGACTCACGCAGCAGCGTAACCTTTAGGTTGACCGACGTGCAGAGGAGGCGAAGCTGCTGTACTGATGACACTGAAACCAGTCAAACTAGAGAAAAAAACCCATCTGTGTGTGAGACACGTGAGCATAAGTCAAATAAAGCAGTGGGCTGAAACTTCGTTCAACTGTTGAGAGGGGTAACGTGCTGCGAGGGCGCTCAAGTGAAAGGTAAAGTCTACTCAAAACTTAGTACAATACACTTATTAGCTTATCTGTCTTTAACGCTGCGGAAGTTACCGGTTTAACATAGCTGCGACGTTTTATGAATGATTTCGGAAATTGTCCACGTGGGAAGTGTCTCCTCCCGTCGGCTCCTAATGGAGGAGTAAAGATAAACACGAGCCTTTCTTTCATTGACGTTTGTTTTCTAGTTTGACGTGAACACGTGTAGTGCACGCGCGGTACACGAGTTTGTCTGAAAAGCTGGTTAGGACTCAGTCACTAAAGTGTTGACGTTAAGCGTTTCCTGGTCGGACTCTTTGTTGTAGTTTTATCTTGAATGGACCTGGTTTACTACTACTAGCTGCATTCGTATACACGTTACACTTTTCTCAACTTTCTGAGCTCAATTATTTAGGCTTACAGTCACGTGTTTGCTCCGTATTCGCTGTTAGAGGCTAGAAAATGCTACATTTTTATTTCTGAGTCATTCATGATCATATGAATAACAGGTTTATTCACTTTCAGCATTTCTCATCTAATCATTATGAACATATTGCTCGGTCAGTTATAGCTTTGTGTTTATAAACACAATGTATGTAAACAAGCCTTTCACAGCATCACTTTGATTTACTTTTCTTATATTAGTCCATGTGTTAGATTACGTGAAGCTATATATTCAGGCTTTTATTTTGAAATTTGGCGATTCGTTTGCTGACATAAGGTTCACAGACTGTACATTTGAAACATCAATTCTGCATTCTACATAATAAAAAAAAAAAGCTTAAAAAATGACCCACTAAGTCATGTAATTTTCCACATATGTTTTGTTGTTTTCATACATGTATGTTTCCCTCTGTTTGAACAGGAACATGTCCCCTGCTCTAGCAAATGATTTGGGCTACAAACCCCTGGATGGTGGTTGGGGCTGGATGGTGGTGGTTGGGGCCCACATTTCTATTGGATTTGCGTACTCCACGCCCAAAGTCCTCTCCATTTTCTTCGAAGAGATCCAAGAAAATTTAGGGGCCAGCTACCGTGAAATAGCGTGGATCTCCTCTATCATGCTAGCTGTCATGTATGCAGGCGGTGAGTTGACTCAATCTGTATCTGTTACATTGGTCTGCCCAAATGGAAAAATTATCACTATTATCAGTAGCATTCCTTGTGGCCAAATAAGCAACAAATAGTTCACACATCAGTTTCTTTATACTATTAGAAGATGGTAGGGAGCTCCATGTGGCAGTAATAGTAATATAACGGGATATTCAGCGATGTGCCAGCAAAGTCCGGGAAGAAGAAGACTGGTGTAAGAGGGCCTTATCTCATTTTCCGATTTTGGGCTTCTTCGTCTCCTCGAATTCTCTAAGCGCTAAGCAAAGGTGCTTCAATGCTTCTTTTCCAATCTCCTTTAGCGTAGAGTACACGGGACCATCCTTTACCAAAGGATGAGATAATGGCGTCCAACAACTTCTTGCAGCAACAACATTTAAAGCAACACACCACTCAACTGTTGATGAAAACAAATGATAATGCTGTCTTGCATTGATTTTAAAATTATTTCCATACAGACATAAACCAATTGGGATTCATGTTGATAAATACGAGTGCACAGTGACAAACATTTCCTTTCATTTTATATGTATTCACATAATTGCACGAAGGAAACATTGTCGTTTCACCACAGCAGATCCATGTCATTAAGGTCACTTGACAACAAGTGCTGTGCTGTATATTTATTTTGAGAAGATATATAATTGACTTCATGTGAGTTACTTCACCCACTGAAATAGTGTTAGGGTGCCAACAAGAGGCATGATGTTGGCGTGTGTTGCTCACCTGACTTGAATCTAACTGTCCACACTGACACCGTCAGTGACACTGAAAGTCAGTCAGAGTTGGGGTTGTCTGAAAGGCAGTCAGTCTGTAATGAAGTCAGACTAAATGCTGCATGACATTCATGTTCCTGCTTTAATTTGAATGGCCCGGATCATTTTTATTTGGTAGTTGTTAACAACATTCCACATACATTTTCAGGTTTTTTACTTATAACTATGCAATTTTACATCACTTTGTACCATTATTGCTATAGATGACGCCCAAAAAGCTTAAAGACAAAACTTGTTATAGTTGAATAATTGAATTGTTTACACGTATCTCAGGCTTTATCTGAAGATATCATTCTTATGGCAATATATGGCCTGTATAATCCTATTCTGTGACTCAGAAGAACAGATTTAGAAAGCTGAACATTGTTCTCTCAGTGTGCCACATGTGACTAGATCAATCTCGTGAGCCCTTACGTCCAGACAGACGACTAAATGCAGCCTCCTTCATTTGAATGGGATTCATTTGTTGCAGATGCCAGTACAGACGGCTTATTCAGTAAAACAAATTGTACCTGGCTCAACCTTTGCTGGAACTCGATGCAATGAGTTGTGGCAAGTTGCTGCGCTGGCCAGTCAAATACCTGCAAACACACATTCCTGGTAGATTGCTTTGTAATGGGATTGGCATGTTTTTTTGTTTTTTTGTCCACCTCACATATTTGATAGTTGGCACTACACAACCTCAGCACTGAGTCCGCAGTACATCTTGCCCGTCATGGTTCTGGTCTGAACCCATTTCTTGGTTTCAGCCACAAAGCAGCAATGGTAACAATTGGAGTCGGTAGGTCTTTACATCTTTTATCTACCAAAGCAAAGTACTACTGGTGGGGGCACATCATTGCTTCCACAACAGGCAAAACAAATTGCGGGATTTGAAATATCTTTTCCACAGTGGATTTGAGAACTTATTGGAAAACCTATTAGACGACACAAAACACGACAAAATAAAAGTGTTGTGGAGGCTTTACTTGAATTTATCAGTAGCTGCCTTCAAGGTCACGGGACAACAGGGTGTGTGACTCACCTGCACTCTACTCAGAGAAGCCGAACTGGTGAAATATTCCCCTCCACTGTGGCTCAGGCACAGGGCTTCATCATATTGTCCTTGGCAAGGCTTCAGCAATGTCACCCAGTGGAGGAGAGAGACAGGGGGAATATATCAGAGGAAGGTTCAGCACACTTGGGTCCGACACCAGTTCCCCACGGGGGAGACGGGACAGCCTTTTCAGAGAACCTCTGACTTAAGGAGCCCGAATGATGAAGCTCTAATGGAAGTAGAAATGGTGGTAGTGCGGGAGATGCCCTATTGAGACACGGCTACAGTGAGAGAGAGGGTTGATCTATCTTTGACCCCCGCAGGCACCTGGTTAACTATGTAAACAGCGGATGGATATTTTTGTTTCATGTACTGTAGTTAAAGTGGTACAGCAGGCGCAGTCGTTGAGGACAGTTTTTAACAGCTCAGCTTGAAGCGAGAAAGAGAGATAATAAATGAGAGAGAACTCTTCATTTTGACTCAGGTGTGATTGATTGGTACCCGTACATATATATGCATATATATTTATGCATATAAACATTAATGTGTTTTTTTTAGTGTAGAGTTAATGATAAACACACACAAAGGCATTTTTAAATGGTAATTTATGATCTCAATTGTGATATCAGTGCATGGACATCATGGGGATCAGTCGGTGAGTCTTTTAGTCAGAGATGTCCCAGCCCAGCTCAGACAAAAGTAAACTGCTGAAAAAGTTTAGGTGCCTCTTTATCCTCCTCTCGGTCCTCTCTGTACTGTGAAGCTGAAACATTTAGTCCATTAAGTGATGAATCCACTAATTTATTAATACATTTTTCAGGAAAAATTGCCAACATTTCCTGGTTCCAGACTAAATTGTTAGGATTTACTGTTTTTCTTTCAACTTTGTTGCCGTAAACTAAATAAATATCTTTGTGTTTTTTTGACGGTTTGTAAAACAAAACAAGAAATTGTGACTGTTAACGTTCTTTTATTTTTTTTTTCATTTTATAGAGGCAATAATGAGCAGATTAATTGAAAATGAAAATAATCCTTTGGTGCAGCTCTGTGTCCTGGTAGTGTATTTGTTTGTGGAATAACACCGGTTGATGACACTGTAGCCTGATGACATCAGAGTCAGCGTAGAGGCAGTGTGACATGCTAACAGACTCCAGTGTATAGATATAGGGAAATGCATTGAAGAAGTTCTGTTCTGTTGATGGTCAAAACTGTGTTTAATGTGGTGTTAAATGTTGTTGTTAGCTGCTGCTGTTTGACAAACTGCTGCCTGTAGCCTCTTTAAAGTACATGCATTGATTCATATCAGTGTGGAAGCTTAGATATTGTTCTTGAAAGTGAACATACTTTTTGTTCACATGGATTCAGTTTAAGACAAAATACTTTCCCCCCTTGTATGAATCTGTTTTCTCATGCACTGAGAAATTAATCATCCGCCGTGGTAAACATGCTCTTGAAGTCAGTGGGTCTTTGCCAAACATGTAATCCTCTTACGACTCACTGGGCTGTTTGCAAATATCATCACCCACACAGGAGCACTTCTCAACACTTCCGTGAAAAGCGGCGGCTGCATGTAAAGAATTCAATAATCATGGCAGCATATTAGTTTGATTGATGCTCTCCCAGTTTTTCTATATGAATTGAGTAAAAATAAATGTATATTGAAGCGATTGGTCTTTATAGCAAGGAGAGAAGAGAAGGCTGTCGTTATGATTTGCTGCAGAAGGAATGGTGGTGCAATGTCACTCTTTCAGGCAAGGTTATGAATGAAGGGAAGAGTGACAGCATATAAAAGGCTGTTTAATTGCTGATTGATCATGGAGTGCGGCATTTTACATTATATGGGGAGAGTATAATGAGTCCCCAAGTTGCGTCGCAGCGGATGCAAAAGTTTTTGGAGGTGTTCCATCATCCGTTGTGATATCCTTTTGTCCTTGGTTTAGCACTAGAGGGAGAACTGGTGATGCTTTGTATACCCTTCATCACCAGCAGTAGCCAAGTGTATTACTAACAAACTACTGTTTATATTGAGATGTTAACATAATACGTCTGAACCGCTCCCTCTGTCCATCTCTTTCTGTTCCTTCTCTTTGCAGGACCAGTGAGCAGCGTGTTGGTCAGTCGCTTTGGAAGCCGGCCAATAGTCATACTGGGGGGACTGCTGTGTGGAGTCTCTATGGTAACCGCTTCTTTTGGGAACTCCATCGTTTACCTCTACCTTTGCATTGGCGTCATAGGAGGTACAGTACTTATACAATATCTGGTGACACTGCTTCCTGCTTTTTTTGCCAGGTTGATAGGTTTTACTACTGACATGCTGGCTTCCGTAGATAGTTAGTTGATTAGAGTCCAAAGTAAGACAAGGTACCGAATGTGTTTGCAATCATGTGAATAAGTCAACGAATTCCGTGGTGGGGATCCTAGGATTTACCTCTTTCCTTAGCTTTTCCATCAGTTCTGGTTAAGACCTTCTGGGGTAGGGAAAGTTTGCAACGTTTCATATCCTTTCAGAATCTCTGGGTTCCCTTGACTGAGCTGCCTTCCCGATTGTCGGGGGGGCCCAGGGCATCTGCCCCAGCTCCTGGAGTGCAGTTAAAGCACCAAGGGGACCAAAGACCAGGACGGTAATCAAGACAGACCCGTCCCCGCTCCCAGAGAGTCGTCCGTGGCCCTCTGTGCCCTCCCGTAGGCTCTGATCATGGTCGTCACATGGGGGCTCCCCGCCACCCTGTGAGGCTCATTACCCTGCCAAGGACTGCTGTGAAGGATTAATAGGCCCAGCAAGTGGCTGGGCCATGTGCGTTGCCCGGGGGGCATGTGTGTGCCCTGCTCTGCTCCCCTGTGCTCTGGCGCACCTAGCAGACCTAGCAGACATATGCTTACACACATATAGGCAAAATTATGAAGAACATCCCAGACTCAGTGAGTAGCTTTTGGTAAATACTTATCCTTATACAGCTCCTAGCCCAGATTTTAAATTTGATTGATTGTCCTTCTTTTGGACTTTATATTATGTATTGATAATCCCCCCCCGACCAGTAAACACATGGCGATTAGGTTGAAAAACAGTGGAGCGTTCCTTTAACACTTTTTCTATAAATCTTCATTTTTATAAATCCTCTTTTTAGATCCACTATTAGATATTCACAAAAAAAAAGCCTTTAACATGGAACCAGAGGAGAAAATTAAATCGTCATTGGAAAGAGAATATAGCACCCTGACCATAGCTCTTCATCCTCCAAAATAAGGTAATATTAAATTACATTTTGGGGTAAAAAGGTAAGCGTGTAAATGCAATACCCAGGCTTTCTAATTTACTTCTATTTAAATGAAGAAATTATTCCTGAAATAATTTGATTATTCTGTAATGAGATTTTAGCCATTAAAGTGAAATGAGATGGAACCTTAATGAGCACCAAGCTGAATCATTCTGTAATTTCGCAGGCACCCTTTGGAGTTTAGGTTCAGGACGGTTTTCTCACCGAGGCTTTTTGAAATGTGACTGTTTTTGTTTCTGTAATCTGTCTACTTACAGGCTGCGGACTCTCCTTAAACCTCAATGCGTCTCTCACCATCATCAGCAAGTATTTCCTGAATAAGCGTCCTTTAGCTAACGGACTAGCCATGGCTGGGAGTCCAGTGTTTCTGTGCATCATGGCCCCCGTCAACCAATATCTACTGCAGAAGTTCGGCTGGAGAGGAAGTCTCTTTATCCTCGGGGGTCTGATGCTCAACTGTTGTGTTGCTGGGGCCTTGATGAGGCCTGTTGTTCTGCCTCGTAAGCCGTCCACTTGCGCCGCGCAGAAAAACGTGGAGGAAGAGCCAAACGAGTGCAACACTAAGCAAAAAAGAAGTTGTATGAACAACGCTAAGACGTTTTTGGATTTTACCTTCTTCAAGGATAGAGGCTTTGTCATCTACCTCATTGGGAACATTCTGTTCATCTTCGGTGCCTATGCGCCCATTGTGTTCCTGTCAGCCTACGCTATTAGCCAAGGCGTAGAGGAGTACTCCGCAGCCTATCTGCTCTCTATTATGGGCTTTGTCGACATGTTTGTTCGGCCTGGCACTTGCCTGATAGCCAGCAGCAAGTGGATCCGGCCCAGAATCCAGTACTTCTTTGGCTTTGCCATGGTTTTCAACGGCACATGCCACTTACTGTGCCCGCTGATCAAGAGCTATGCCTTCCTGGTGACGTATGCTGTATTCTTTGGCGTGGGCTTCGGCATGGTTTTCGGCCTGATATTCGAATGTCTGATGGACCTGATGGGAAATCAACGCTTTCCCAGCGCTGTTGGACTGGTCACCATCATCGAGTGCTTCCCCATGCTACTGGGACCACCTGCTGCAGGTAACCGCATAAACATAAGCACACCGACCATAAACTGTCCATTTACTGACATGACAGAATCTGAATAATGGGAGCTCTCTGAAAAACACTTTTCCATGTTTGTCTGGATTGTTGAATCTGAGAAGCCAGTCACAGACACCAGTATTTACTTTTAGCTCACGTTACAATGCCTCATGTTGATCCTTCTGACTGAAGGGCCAAGATGAACACATCTATACAAACACACACTTTGAAAACAAACAGCATTTTTTACAGTAGAAATAAATAGCCAGTTTGGTACAAGCTCCTTTGTAAATAGTGCAGCACTGACTTGCAGCAAAGTTACATTCTTCCTTTCTCTTTGTGTGTTTTTCTCTGTTTTACAGGCTGTGCATTATTATGTTGCATGAGACTTAAGTTTTCTGCTAGGTTGTCATGACTGTAAGACAGAGTAAGTTCGGCACTGGTGAGTAAGGCTGTTATGGGGTGCACAGAATAAGGAATCAGAATCAGAACCGTTTATTGCCATGGTATGTTAAACATACAAGGAATTTGACATGACGGGAGGTACATAACATTTATCAACAATCAACAGTGCAAAGTAGAAACATATTAAAATTTACAGAATATATATAATATAAAATAAAGTAAAATATGAAATAAAGTGGAATATAAAATAAAGTGCACAAACGAACAGATAAGAGGACTATAAACAAGTGAGATGTAAGTGTAGTGTAAAATCATAATCATAAATAACCATGATTGGTCAGGCTCGTTTAAAGTCAACTATAGGATTTGGCCTCCATACAAATTATGGATCATAACTCAAAGCTAAGAAACTCAGGTTTTCTGCGCCCCTTTACTGTTTTGATATTTAATATGGGATATTGAAAACAACAGACACAGTCTAACAAACGCTCCCTGAGTTACTCTCTGCCTGTGTGTCCTGTGCAGTCTTTGGATCTAATGAATGAAGCCGTGTTCTGGCTGCATGACCCAAACGTGATTCCAGTCTGAGACAGACTAAGAGGCAGAACCTATGACAATATCAGATGTTTTTGACGGTGAACCATGGATGATAAAAGGTGAATGCACCAGAGGGCCAGGGTTTGGTATCTGGTTAAATCTGTTGTCTTCAATGGATCATATGAATTATTTACACAATATTAATTCATTCCCTTTAATACATGTTGATACACTCCCTTTTACTTAATTATATTGCTCGGCATCAACTTACAAGCTGCTTAACTCTTTTTCTTCCCTTTTTCTACCTGGTCACTTGCTGTATATCTCCAGCCTTCTTCTGTCTCTGAAAGGGCTTTAGATTGAAGTGTTGGGCAGCTACCTTCATGGTCTGAATAACCGTATAATCCGAAAGATATTGTTTACCCTCTCTGCTTCCCTGCCGTTTTCGAGATTAGTGCACTTTTGAAAACTCCCACTATGAAACACTCCTCTCTTGAGTCAGTAAAGGAGAAGCATGGTATCCAATCACGGTAACTGCCTCTGAAAAAGGAGAAAATTGTTTTTAGTGACAAATTCTCATCAACAGAACAAAAGTACTTTTAAATTGAGGTATTACTTTTGTCAGAGTGCTTTCTGCTGAGGTAGCTACTTACTTGTGAAATAATCTCAAAGAAAGATTTTCACTTTGCACAATAAAGCAGAAGTACCATACCCAAAATGTGTCTTAAAAGTCAAATGAGCCAGCTGAGTATGGCTTTGCAGTGATTGCTCTACAGACAAAATCATTTTTCATATGTCAAAGTTGTATGTAATCATAGCGCAGTGGCACTTGGATTGCATGCGTTGCAAAATAAGTTGTTTACGTGTCAATCAAGACAATGAGGCGATTAGTCAACCAACGGAAAAATAAGCAGCAGACACTTTTCAGAATTCCAAATTTTAATCTATAATGAAAATAGTTGTTAGTTGCTGCCCTTGTCAAGTTATTTATGTAGCCCAAACTCACAATTTTGTCCCAGAGGGCTTCTGTACAACATATCGTTAAACACCATCTATCTTCAGCGATGCAAAAGTTAATTGAGGTTGATTGGCCTCGAGATGGTCGAAGTCATCATTGGAAAGAATAAGCTAGAAGACAGACGCCATGCAAGTTTTTCTTTCTCACCCATAGTGCTAGTACTAAATATTAAGTAAGTGATGTACTTAAATACCTGTCAGGCACAGAATAAACAAGTTTTCAAAATGGTAAAAGTTCTTCTTTGGTATTCAGCTTGTGCACCAATCCATAGTTTAGTGTCCTAGATAAATGCACCGAGGACCTGCAGAGTGCTGCATGTCTTAACAGCCGTACATATCGGCCCACTGACGAACTTTTCCTTTGCCTCCAACCTGAGTTCTAATGAGGTTAAAATGAATAGGGCCCCCCAGTTTGTCTGGTGCGACCCTGTTCTGAGGCGCTCATTAAATGGGGTAAATAAGTGCCTTCCTGCACGTCTACCATTCTCCTCCAGAGGGCACAATCGTTATGTCTCCCCCAACAAGTCCGCTTGTTACTGCACCCCCAAACCTCCGGGTCAGTCCAATTAGGAGAAAGTGAGGTAAGTGGGTGTAATTAGCCTTTTGCTTTGGGTGTTTAATGACGCTCTATTCAAACTCTCATTGAAGTCCTGTACCTGGGCCATCATTAAGCTGTGAATACATTAAAAAAAGAAAGAGGTGATCACGCCAGATGGATTTAATTACCACTCAGCCAATCAAGAGCTGACTTAATGAGGGTGATGGTCATTGTCGTACACGTAGCAGATGAGGGCTATCAATCAGATGATACAGACTGCATTGAGATCCAAATACAAAATGACCCCTCCTAGTATAGTACAAGACCGTACATGCACACACACACAAACATTATCATTGTTTGATTCTGATAAGATACTGCAACTTGCTAATAAAGGTGCCTTCTACACTGTTAAGTGTACCTGGTTGTCAAAAACACGCCTGAGTTTGGTATAAGTAATAAACAAATAGTTAAATCATTTTCACATTTATACTACATATTTTTTATTATGGGATGATACTGATGCTAAATTATTTATATCTATATATCTATACATATCTCTTCCCTTCACTAAATTAAATGAGCTTGTTTTATAATTTTTGCTGAATGTCAAGCCGATAGAACATATTCCTTAAAAATTCATTCTTATATTAAATGGTGTAAAGCAGGGATTGTAATATAGTGAGATGGACAAACAGACGGGCCGTCATACATGCTGAGACAGAGAGATCCTAAGACCCCCCCCCCCTTATCCCGTTAAGACCCCGGAAAACCTGGAGGCTTAAATCTGATCTAAACTACATTTGTCACTTTTCTGCAGACTTTGGCTCGATATTTATGGCTCTGAGAACGGGCCTCTCTTCTGATTCGTTTTGGTAGCAGCCGTCCAAATTGCCTTCCCAGAGATGCAGGCAGAGCCAGGAAGGGTGTAATGGCCCTCTGTCATTTCCGACATGGCGCTTCTCAAATTGGCCCCTGCTCACTCTCAATCCCTCGAACACACACACACACACACAGAAGCCAAGAGTTCGGTCTTGCTCTTCACCTTCAAACTTGTAAAGTGGTCGAATAAAGATACTATTCAGTGACATATTGTGTTGCGCTTGTCATGATGTACAACATTTCCGAGTGTGTTTTTTTTTAGTGTGGCATAAAATGGGTACAACTGACACTCCCTTGGTTTGAAATGTAACTTCATTGCACCCTTCTGCCCTTCTCCACACAGGGTTACTGGTGGACGTCTTTGGTGACTACAAGTACATTTTCTTCATGTGTGGCTCAGTGATCGTGGCTGGCGGGGTCTTTATCTTCGTCATGAACATCTACAACTACCACATGCTGGAGAAGGAGAAGCCAGCGAAGGTCAGAGAGCAGAACCAAATGACCATAGAGAACCAGGCGAGCGCCTCAGCCTGAAGAGCATAACGGAGCCCAGAGAGATCCATGGCCGGAGAGAGCAAAAAAACACCAAATTAAATGGGAATTAATTTAACTCGCAAGTCAGGAGGTGCTATTTGATTATTGCAGGAGAAGAGGGGCCAACGAGACGACACGATTAAAAGAGCGCCAGTCAAAGCTGACACGGTGGAAACTGTAGAAAATACGATGGAAATAAGGCATTTGTGTTTGTTTCATGTATTCATTTGAGGAACGTTGCTGTCTCCATGTCATTCTTGATGTTTTTGCGACTATTTTTAGTATCTTCAATGGAAGTTTCAGTAAGAAACGAGTCACATGCTTGTTTGTACAAAATTCTCAAGTCACAAGGAATGCGTCAATGCGCACAGCCTCAATACCTGAGTTACTGTTAACGTCTTTCTCTCACGTGATCATGAACGAACACTTTATGCTTTGGAATTCCTGGCTGTTCATTGCACAGTAATCGAATCCGTCTCATTATAATTGTTTTTGTGGTAATGTACCTCAGGAGACTGTCATGAGATATTTTTCACTTGCAGTGTTTACGTCATAAAACTGGCAATTTGTTTTGCACGTGAAATACTGTAGCTGCCAGCAAAGACATGGACGTATTTAAAGTGGAACTATATGCTTTACTACTGCACAACCTGAAGTGTGGCATACCATGAAACTTCAATTAAAAGCCCCCACTGAGCCCCTTTACTCGCCAGATGTGGCGAATAAAAGCAGGTCTCAATTATACTTATTTCAATATGGACATGCTTCACATTGTTAGATTGGTTAGATTTTCCATAATTAAATGGTTAAAACTATGAGCAATCAAAGTATTATTCAGATTTACCGCCGTGGTAAATGAGGTCATTTCTTTTTTACATTCAAAGCTTCTATTGAGGTTTTCGAAGCTTTGAATGACTGCCATCATATTTTATGATGTCCCCCTAAAAATGGGGAAAATATGATTTTGTGTCGTTAAATAAATGTAATTTTATAGTGCGGTTAGATTGCTACTAGACCGCCCTCTTAATACTTTTTATTTTTTTACCACAGTGAAGGCTAAATGTCAACAAATCCAGATTGAGGCAGGATACTTTGTTAGATAAAAACATGTGAATTCTGGAAATTATTACATCCATCTCTTTTCAATAAGTTTTGACTTTTGGACTAAGGACAGACATTTACATGGAGAGAGAGACCAGCGTCTAAAGTGAATGATTGGCCAGTTGAGTTAATAAAGGCTTGGGCTATTAATTGCAGTTTTACGGTAATGGTCTTATAAATTGTTGTCAGTCTTTATTTAATTTGAACATGTATGCTTAAACACATTATAAAATATGTGTGTTCCACAATACTGTAATTTTTTTTGACATTTAGCATTGACATTTGTTATTTGGACCAGAATGGATTTGCATCCACTGTTAATTAATCTGTTACCGTGTGTATTTGTGCATATTGGTGCAAAGAGAGAACGTGGATTAAAAATAATCCTAAATCAAGATATTCTAGGTTTTATATTCCAAGGTGACGGCAGCTTTTTGGATCCTGTTGACCGGAGAATTAAACCATTAGCTTGTTTGATTAACAGCTGCATTTCATGTACCACTGAAACGATGGATAACACTCTATTGTTAACCTTAATAAATTCCCGTTGTATTTGTTATTGTGTTTTATTTATATATATTCTTAAAGGTAAAGTCAGAGATATTTGTTGTGGGTGACGATTTCGTTCTGCAGATGTGGAGGAATAGTCTCATTTCCTTCATCGCTTATTGTAAAGTCTTTGCATTCCACATCCACGCAGCAGGTAAACGGCACACGGACACGAGAGAAACGCCGTCAAATGGAGATCTACCACGTAGCTTCTCAATGTTGGTGGCTGTGTCCAATTTTTCACGACAATTAGAAGACTGGGGAACAAGTTTAGAAATGTCAGCAGCTTAAGGGCGTGAGCACCTAATGAAGCAAGGCCCGGATGTTCCAGGCTAGTGCTCTTGAGCTGCATGCAGCTCCACACACATCAGCAAATCAGTGGGCCAATAAATTAGAAACGCAGTCGCAAACACGCATACACACACATTGGTGCTATGTCCCGTCCCTTCGCTGAGTATTAGGCAAGGTCTTTGGACATGACAAGGTGGAAAGGTACCCCAGAGGCGAGGCAATGGGCGCTGTGACCGGGAATCTGTTCATCATTGTTATATTTTCTCTCACCTCCTGTTCCCCTCTCGCCTGCTGACCCTCCTCTACATTCCACCCTCCCTACAATGTGTGTTCTCTATGAACTTCATGACAGTTGTCCTCCATGCTCAATTGTTAAAAAAAAAAAAAAAAAAAAAAGACTTCTAGGTACCCCAGAGGGGCTTGTAGTGGTACAAAATTATGAATAACATGCTTTCAGGCAGTTTGATAATCTGTTTTATTTTGTAGTAATTTTATATAGTATAAAAATAGCTGCAATGTTGTCAATAAACACAAGTCACATGTTCCCTGAGATGAACATGAGGCTCCTTCCCTTTGAAGTTCAGAGCCCTTGTATATTGGGTTTTAGTGTCTTCCTCAAGACACCTGAGCAGGATGCTATAAATTTGCTTTAATTGCAAAATGAAACCGACTAAGTGGCATCCATGTCAGCAAATTAACAAATTAAAATTGAGTCCATTAAAAACGAGTCTATGAAAACAGAGAAGCTGTGATTGAGTTTCTCACTCCTCTCTTAATAAGGATTACCACGGTTCACCATCTGACTATAAAGCAAGGAGCCGTCTGTCTGTGTGTTTGCATATCTCAAGAACCGCTCATCTGATCTGGTTCACACTTAGGGTGTTTTGCTGGGGACCCCATGGAGTGCTTTGTATAATTTGGTGCAATTTGGACACGCGAAATGTTCAATGTAAATAAACTTTGAATAAACAAACGAAGAGCGCACTGTGCAGCAGCAGGGGCGGAGCTTCAGGGCTTTACAGGCCCTGATTGACAGCTCTCTGTTAACTGTCAGCTCTTGTTTACCGAGTAGCCAACTTTGTAGTGTGTGATTGTAATTGGGTACCACTTTTCCTAAACGCATACCTTCTTTGAAAAAAGAAGAAGTGTTTGCTGCAAACATTTTGTGTTCATCAGCAACTACTGAACCGACATAAATGCAGCGTGTGCTGATAATAAACTGATCTCAGTTGTTTACAATAGGGGGTCAACCTGGTGAATCTTGAATGGTCTCACAAGCGATGAGTCGGAGACAAGTGGGAAGGAAAGAGTGTGCTCCCAGAGGGCTGAAAGAGCACAGGCATCTATCAACAGAAGAAATTGAATTGGATATTTCAGAGCAGTAGAGATCAGATAGGCACAGGGTGTTGAGCAAGCACAGGCTATCCCTCGAGTGAGATCAAACTTATAGAACACAGTGAAGCAAGGACAAGTGTGTGCGCACACACACACACACACACACACACACACACACACACACACACACACACACACACACACACACACACACACACGCGCCCACGCGCCCACGCACTGAGATTCCTATAGTGGCCTTTAGGTTTGAAGTACAGATATGATGCTTTATTTGCTCAGGGAGTACACTGAGGGATAATGCTAGATAACACTAGAGACAAGCAATTTCCACATTTGCCACGTCTTCATAAGAACATGTATAGGTCCGGTATCATATGATTCCCATTGGAGTGTTAATATTCACATCTGAGCAAAAGTTCCTCAAAAAGGGCTTACATAGTAGTTTTCATCGAGCTCCGTCTAAAAAAACCACAATATGCTCCTATGCAGAATGTGATATTTGTTTTACACAAATAATACGTTACATTTAAAAGACATACTCCAAAACTGAGATCCGTCTGGTGAGGAGCTGCTTCTAGAGCCTCTCAGTGGTCAGTTGCTCCTCCAACGTTTTGGGAGGACAGAGACGCAAAGAATTGTCAAATAGGTGCGTTTGCATTCTTTTAGTTAATGAGAGCGGACATCTTTCCTGCTGGAGTTAGGGCTACATGGTTAGGCTAATTAATAGAGCTGTGCTGAAGTGTTCAAAGCTTCATCCATAACGTTGACCTTCAAATCATTATTATTAATAACATTGTGTGCAACATTCCACCGGCCTCAACCCTCTCTTCCCTCTTGCTCTCTGTGAATCAAACACACATCTCGTCTCTGTAACTATCTCAGTCCTTACAGTCCAAATGTCAAATATATTTTAAATAAAGTTAGATGTCGTCATCTTTAACAATCACGACATGTTTTATCTAACAAAATCAATTGAATCCATATTTGTTGGCGTTAAGCCTTTCAAAAACAACATTTTCACTGCGGACAGAAATTGTTAACTCTCCCACACACACACACTTAACAGGGCGGTGTAGCAGCGCTCTAACAGCACCGTAACTTACATCTTTATAACCACAACATCAGATATATTACTTTTTTTTTCTCTTTATGCTTCAATAAAGCAGTAAAGCACAGAGAAAGCCAGAGAAGAAGAGAGTCTGAATATAATAGAAAATTAATAACAAGCCTTGCATTAGTGAATATTGTTCTGTAATTGTGGACACGTGAACAATTATAGTGTTCAGCTTTCATGTTGAAAAGTACTCTCGCCATATCGCCCAAGCCTTCAGCACAGGTCCACCTCTCCTCACCTTGATGTCCTCATCTCCATCCAGTCTGCTGCTTCTCCCCACACACCACGTGTCTTCTTACTGAGAACCAACAAAGTCGACTAATGAGCTAGATAAATAGGCTATAATGTCAGTTAAGATGAACAATGATATTCTCTGGATGTCTGAATGTCCATGCCAATTACAGATCACATCCAATAATTTCACCAATTTTTAAGAAGTTTACAACGAAGCTAAAGAGGTCACTGAATTAAAGTATTTTGTACACTTCCACATATGGACATGCCAGTAATGGAAGAGAAGACGCTGTCTCAGTTAGTCTTAATAACGTTCCTCTTCTTCCCAGATGTCATCTATTGAGAGAGCATATCGACAAGTGTGTGACAAATAAAAGCACCTGTCTTAACATGCAACACAACTGTTACCCTTTTGAGGATTTGTGCCTTTACTAATAACCTCTATAGTTAATATGCTCTCTTTGGGCGGTGGGTTACGAAGAGTGTTTATTATGCGTGTGTGAGGGAGCCGGCAGGACGGGGCATTAGACCACTGACATGGTAACCCACTAGCCATCACTCCAGCAGCGCCGAGGTCAGATTGGTGCAGCTATATGGGGCTCCGCCCGGTTTCAGCGCTCTCCTGAAGAAAGGGGGAGAAAGGAGGCACAGCACGTAGCGGCGCCCCAGGCAAATGTTCTCCCTCTATGTGTCCTGCTCTTTCTCCCTTTCTTTCTCCCCTCATTCCTCTCTCTGCTCTTCGTCGAGTAAACTCCCTTTCTCCCTGTCTGTCTGGCTCCACCACTTTATCTTTATTTCTCCAAGTATTCTCTCCTTCCCCATGAAAACTCAGCGAATGCTCTTCAGGAATTCCTTCTTTTCTTTTTTTAAAGGCAGACTGCTTTGCACAAACACAGTTCAAACCCGACTGCCCTCAGTGCTGTCTCCTTTTTAAACTCCCTGCTCTTTGAATACAATCCGTTTGAAGAGAATGCCCTCTGCATTTCTTTAACACAGCCATTCAAGTGCGCTCGCACGCTCTCTTGCATTTTACACAAACACAGGCATATTAGGCTTACAATCACATCAAAATATAATGGCATGCACACACACCTACATTAATCAGGAGTGTCATTGGTGTAGAGAGAATTTATTCTACCACTTTGAACTCATGCACCCTTATTTCATGTCTGCCCCTCTCTCTCTCTCTCTCAGGCTGCACTTAAATGCATGGCCTTACTCCCGCTACTGGCCATGTTTCACTAAAGGTCTAATTCAGATTCAACTGCTTTCATGCATCTTTTACTCTACAATTGAGAATTAATGTTGTTGCCTTAAATGTGTTAAAGGGTAAATTCACTCAAATTACAAATAATACATACCTCTAGCAGTACAGGTTGTTTTGGGGGTTTATTTGCACAGGAACTTACCTCTCCACCATTAATCTGGATGTTTCAAAGATCACACTGACACCAGGTTTCATCGGGGTGAAACTAAGTAAACTTTATTGATCACACATGAGGAAATAAGAAGTACAAGAACAGATGCACAATGAAGCATGAAGAACTAAAGTGAATGATACTAAATACTATGTGCACCATAGCAATCATAGTAAGTGTACTGAGACAGAAATTGTCATGAATGAAAGTTGACGCCAAGGAGGTTGCTATGAAAAGAAAAACCATACTTTATATAAAAATTGTACTCAAGAGATTACAATTGTGTGTTGGGGAAAGTGTTTTGTGTTGCATATAGCAGTGTTAGCGTCTTAAAATACAATTAGTCCATAA